GCAGATGAGTGTGTGTATGTTCCTGTATGTGAGAAGGGTAGCAGATGATTGTGTGTATGTGCCTGTATGTGAGAAGGGTAGCAGATATGGTGTGTGTATGTGCCTGTATGTGAGAAGGGTAGCAGATGATTGTGTGTATGATCCTGTATGTGAGAAGGTTAGCAGATGATTGTGTGTATATTCCTGTATGTGAGAAGGTTAGCAGATGATTGTGTGTATATTCCTGTATGTGAGAAGGGTAGCAGATGATTGTGTGTATATTCCTGTATGTATGATGGGTAGCAGATGAGTGTGTGTATGATCCTGTATGTGAGAAGGGTAGCAGATGAGTGTGTGTTTGTTCCTGTATGTATGATGGGTAGCAGATGAGTGTGTGTCTGTTCCTGTATGTATGATGGGTAGCAGATGATTGTGTGTCTGTTCCTGTATGTATGATGGGTAGCAGATGATTGTGTGTCTGTTCCTGTATGTATGATGGGTAGCAGATGATTGTGTGTCTGTTCCTGTATGTATGATGGGTAGCAGATGATTGTGTGTATGTGCCTGTATGTGAGAAGGGTAGAAGATAATTGTGTGTCTGTTCCTATATGTGAGAAGGGTAGCAGATGATTGTGTGTATGTTCCTGTATGTATGATGGGCAGCAGATGATTGTGTGTCTGTTCCTGTATGTGAGAAGGGTTGCAGTTATGATGTATGTATGTGCCTGTATGTGAGAAGGGTAGCAGATGATTGTGTGTATGTGCCTGTATGTGAGAAGGGTAGAAGATAATTGTGTGTATGTTCCTGTATGTGAGAAGGGTAGCAGATGAGTGTGTGTATGTTCCTGTATGTATGATTGGTAGCAGATGATTGTGTGTCTGTTCCTGCATGTGAGAAGGTTAGCAGATGATTGTGTGTCTGTTCCTGTATGTGAGAAGGGTAGCCGATGATTGTGTGTCTGTTCCTGCATGTGAGAAGGGTAGCAGATAATTGTGTGTATGTTCCTGTATGTAAGAAGGATAGCAGATGATTGTGTGTATGTTTCTCTATGTAAGAAGGGTAGCAGATGATTGTGTGTATGTTTCTCTTTGTAAGAAGGGTAGCAGTTATGATGTATGTATGTGCCTTTATGTGAGAAGGGTAGCAGATGATTGTGTGTATGTGCCTGTATGTGAGAAGGGTAGCAGATGATTGTGTGTCTGTTCCTGTATATGATAACGGTAGATAATTGTGTGTATGTTCCTGTATGTAAGAAGGATAGCAGATGATTGTGTGTATGTTCCTGTATTTAAGAAGGATAGCAGATGATTGTGTGTATGTTTCTCTATGTAAGAAGGGTAGCAGATGATTGTGTGTATGTGCCTGTATGTGAGAAAGGTAGCGATAATTGTCTGGTTTGTATGTTCCTGCATATAAGGGTAGCAGATAGCTGTTTGCGTATGACCCTGTATGTAAGAAGATCATAGAAGAGCAAGTGAACACTTGCGTTGCCTTTGCATGTGTTTGTGATGGGTGCTGCGGGTGAGGCAGGATACACTCACCCTTTCGCGAACACATGGTATTTTCACTTTTTCATAGTGATCCATTAACACATGCTAATGATATAGTCGGAATCGTACAATGGACCTGCTTTCGGCATATATTTCTGATGATTATGGAAAGGGGTTTGTCGCTTTTACTTAAACATGGACGATATGTACAGTCCTTTCCTGTTGCATTTCTTTACATTTCTCAATTCTTCTTTACAATTCTTTACATTTTTTTACGATTCGCATACAATCGACTCTGCTTATAGCAGAGATTTCCATTAAATATAGAAAGGATTTTGAGGCTGTTATTTATATATGAGCTTATTTTACAAATGCTAAAAAGAGTCCACTTGACATGCAGTACCACTCAGAAATTGTTAAAAGCTTATTCTGTTATGCCTGTGTCCTAGATCTATACCTCGCTTGCAAAATCAGAGTAACATATTACCGTGTATTATACTTAATGAGCGATATTATGAAAAATCAAGATAAACAATTTTGGCTATTTCTTGGTGTAGGAAACTGTAGCTATTGTTTATATAATAAGATAATCAAATGAGTGCAGCTACAAATTATAAATATATTTGTGGGTCCCTTTCTACAGTTTTAACCAATCAATACAAGCAGCAATCTAAGAAAAAATATTCTTGGGATTAGTTCGGGACATAAAGACATCGAACATACCAGCGGACATATCCTGGTTATCTAAAGATGATATTTATTTAAACGTTCAATCAGCTCTGCTTTTGGAAAAAAAGACTTCACGGATATGGAAAGTGTTTTGTTGCTTTTATTCAAAATTAAATCGAACCTTAGTGTACGGGACTGAGGTATCCAATTTGCTTATATTGAAAAGGTGCATTTTATTTTATGTCATAAAGTATAAAGGAAAATATATGAAATACATTAGCATCAGGTAGTGTGGTATATTACCTTTATGTTTAGTGTTTATCGCCGCACTCACCAATATTCAAGCAAAATGACAGCGGTCTGTAAATAATCGAGTCTGGACGAGACAATCCAGTGATTGATATCATGAGCATCGATCATCGCAATTGGGATACGATGACATGCATCAACCAAGTCAGCGAGCCTGACCACCCGATTCTGTTAGTCGCCTCTTACGACAAGCATAGTCGCCTTTTACGGCAAGCATGTGTTGCTGAGGAACTATTCTACCCCGGGTCTTCACGGGTATGTAAGAACACACAATATGTAACTGTTTTGTAAGAACACACAATATTTACATGTATGTAAGAACACACAATATGTACATGTATGTAAGAACACACAATATGTAACTGTATGTAAGAACACACAATATGTAACTGTATGTAAGAACACACAATATGTAACTGTATGTAAGAACACACAATATGTAACTGTATGTAAGAACACACAATATGTCACTGTATGTAAGAACACACAATATGTAACTGTATGTAAGAACACACAATATGTAACTGTATGTAAGAACACACAATATGTAACTGTATGTAAGAACACACATTATATAACTGTAAGAACATAAAATGTGTAACTGTATGTAAGAACACACAATACGTAACTATGTAAGAACACACAATATGTAACTGAAAGTAACAACACACAAGATGTATGTAAGAAAACAAAATATGTAACTGAAAGTAACAACACACGAGATGTAACTGTATGTAAGAACACACAAGATGTAACTGCATGTAACAACACACAAGATGTAATTGAATGTAAGAACACACAATATGTAACTGAAAGTAACAACACACAATATGTAACTGTATGTAAGAACAATCAATATGTAACTGAAAGTAACAACACACAAGATGTAACTGTATGTAACAACACACCAGATGTGGCTGTATGTAAGAAAACAAAATGTGTAACTGTGTGTGAGAACACGCAATGTGTAACTGTATGTAAGAACACACAATATGTAACTGCATGTAACAACACACAAGATGTGGCTGTATGTAAGAACACATAAGATGTCACTGCATGTAACAACACACAAGATGTAACTGAATGTAAGAACACACAATATGTAACTGAAAGTAACAACACACAATATGTAACTGTATGTAAGAACACACAATACGTAACTGAATGTAAGAACACACAATATGTAACTGTATGTAAGAACAATCAATATGTAACTGAAAGTAACAACACACAAGATGTAACTGTAGGTAACAACACACCAGATGTGGCTGTATGTAAGAAAACAAAATGTGTAACTGTGTGTGAGAACACGCAATGTGTAACTGTATGTAAGAATATACAATATGTACATGAATGTAAGAACGCACAAGAAGTGGCACAATATGTAACTGTGAGAACATATAACATATAACTGCATGTAAGAATACAATATGTGACTGTATGTAAGAACACAATATGTGACTATGCATAAATATACAATATGTGATTGTGTGTTAGAAATATAGATTTCTAAACGAGTCCACGTGAGATACCGTTTTTATTACGAGTGCACTTCAAAACTTCAAGACGAGTGGAGTGATCTATTTAGTACTCACTTTAACCTAAGATATTATCGACATTCAGCGTTGAAAAATACCTTTGCTGGTGTAAGCTGGTAAAAGAGTGGCGTCTGTGTGTGTGTGTGTGTGCGTGTGTGTGTGCGTGTGCGTGTGTGTGTGTGTGTGTGTACATATCATGATCATGCCGCAGTTTAATATGAATACCCTACTCAGACACAGTATACTGACTACGTGCCGACCAGTCCTTGTTTTAGCCCCTTAATGCCGAACGCCAGACAGGGTTCCATGGAACAACAAGTTCCATCTTTTAACATCTTTTGGTATGACTCAGCTGGGGATCGAACCCCGGACCTTCCGCTCTGCGAGCGGACGCTCCACTACTAGATCGTAGTGATCAATTTTATACGAGTCAGCAGTTAGTGTATATGGTATAGAATTGGTTGTAATTACCGTTAAGCTATACCCTTTGTTCAGTTTCGGAGCACGAAAGATTCACGACACGAGATTGCATCGGCTGACATTAGCACGGCATTACTACCGACAGGCCACGTGATCCAAGGGGCGCTACTCTCATTAACCAAACGAAGTTCAAGGTCGTAAGTAGACGTGGCGATGAATGTTGTGATGATCTTTCGACACAGTGCTTTGGGTATTGGCGATACTCTGAACTATAAATGTAACGCTCATAATGCCACAAAGCTTGTACTGCTGCAATAGAGTTTGTATATTTTGTTTCAAACGTATTTGTTACGATGGTTGTGTTATAAATCACAAGCTGCACAAACTCTTGTCTTGACTCCAGTGAAATATGTCAACAATACAGTTTTGAGATGCATGCTCAGTGAAAAACAACAGCAGTCCCTAGCACGGTGCTACCGACGCCTTCATTTAAATGACCAGTTGATGCCAAAATTGTCCCGTCGGCACGTGATGTTTAACACAATGTTTACCTGTATGCAAGAACAAACAAAAACATAAAATCAAAGATAAAGATTGCGGTGTTTATTATTGACGCATCCAGCTTTGAACAAAATACACACATGCAAGATATACTCATTTTTCAAATGAGACCACACATAATCCCACCACAGAAACATGTGACATTTCAATTTCTGTTTGAAGGAGAACATCAACATCAGGTCCTCGGCTACAAAAGACTGAAACGTCAGTAGACATGTGCATATCTATCCCGCGAGAGGCATAAGAGGTAAGTCAAGAGCCTCGCGGAGATAGAGGTCATAAGGATTGAACTGTTGTGAACCAGCGGGGTATGCTGCTGGTTCTACTGGTGGCTTTGGTGCTTGTTCTACTAGTGTTGTTGCTGCTGGTTCCGCTGCCTGTGTTGCTGCCGGAGTTGCTGCTGCGTCTGTTGCTGCCTTTGCTGCTGGTACTGCTTCCAGTACTGCTGGTTGTAGTGGTGGTTCTGCTGTCGGTGCTGATGCTGGTTCCGCTGCCAGTGCTGCTTCCTTGGGACTGTTAGCGACATTTGGTTTACCGGGAGCACCTGACGCTACGTGGCCAGGGAAGGGAGGAAGGTCCAGTGCCTCAGCGAGTTGAAGGGAGTATAAGCGATCAAACTTGTTTTGGTAACTTGCACCTTGAGCACCCTTCGAAAAGTAAGGCGCTTGGAAGGCAGACGTGGCAGCTGGAGACTGAGCTGCACCCCGGCTGGCAGGTGCTCCAAGAGTTTGAGCGAGCTGGTGCAAGTTCTGATGTCCACCATAGTGCGGAAGCTCCATTTCAGCGAGCATGCTGAGTCTCAACATTTTGTCGTAGTATCTGCCTTCAGGTCCAGCAGGGAAGAGACCAGATGCAAAACTTACCGGGGAGTTGGGTTCTGGAGCGGGTACCTGTGGTGAGGCTCCTGTCTTAGTTGCTGGAACCGGGAATGAGGAAGAAGCGGTGGCAGAGACTACGTTTGAAGCAGGGGCTGGAGCGAGAGGGGCTTGAGCCTGGACAGGAACGGAAACAGGGGTAGGCGCATCGATTGCGCTTGAAGCAGGGGCTGAGACGAGAGGGGCTTGAGCCTGGGCAGGGGCGGAAGCAGCACGAGCATTAGGGTAGTCCTCCTTGATGATAATGATAGTATTATGGGGGAAGGGTTGGTGTCTAGGTGTGTTCCTGCCGTATCCTTGCTCGATCTGGGACCCGTAGTAATCAGGTTGGCCATTGGCAATGACATACTGAGGCTGTGTGTTTGGAGGGTTCTCATACACCGTGGGTTGGACTCTTGAGGGACCAGAGGGCGTGACTATGGGGGTATATGTCGGAGCTTGGGGAGAGACCTTTTGAGGTCGTGGAGCTGGGGGATAGACATTATTTTGAGCTCTTGGAGCTGGTGGATAGACGTTTTGAGCTCTTGGAGCTGGGGGATAGACATTATTTTGAGCTCTTGGAGCTGGTGGATAGACAATTTGAGCTCTTGGAGTTGGGGGATAAACGTTTTGAGCTCTTGGAGCTGGGGGGTAGACGGTTTCAGCTCTTGGAGCTGGGGGATAGACATTTTGAGCTCTTGGAGCTGGGGGATAGACATTTTGAGCTCTTGGAGTTGGGGGATAGACATTTTGAGCTCTTGGAGCTGGGGGGTAGACAGTTTCAGCTCTTGGAGCTGGGAGATAGACATTTTGAGCTCTTGGAGCTGGGGGATAGACATTTTGAGCTCTTGGAGTTGGGGGATAGACATTTTGAGCTCTTGGAGCTGGGGGGTAGACAGTTTCAGCTCTTGGAGCTGGGGGATAGACATTTTGAGCCCTTGGAGCTGGGGGATAGACATTTTGAGCCCTTGGAGCTGGAGGATAGACATTTTGAGCTCTTGGAGCTGGGGGATAGACATTTTGAGCTCTTGAAGCTTGGGGATAGACGTTTCGAGCTCTTGGAGCTGGTGGATAGACGTTTTGAGGTCGTGGAGCTGAGGGATAGACGGTTTGAGCCCGTTGAGCTTGTGGTGCTGGGGGATATACTTTCTGATTTGGTGCAACTGGTTGGGTTTTTCGAGTAAGGGCAACGGGCCTAACTTGAGTGGACTTGATGACGTTTCTTCGGAGTGTTTCAGTTGGGTGGTATATAATCTGACTTTCTAAATTTTCGCGTCTGGGATTTACTAAATTGTAAGAGTTGACTCCAGATTTTGAACCTGGAAGAAAACCAAAATGCTATATTAACACAAGCGGCAAACCCTTTCCAAAATCATACAAATCTCTGCTGAAAGCAGAGTCCATTGTATGTTTATGAATCACTGTCAAATTGTGATAATACCAGGTGTTCGTGAAGGGTTTAGCGTACCCTGCTCCACCGGGGGAACCCGTTGTCACTTTAACTGTGTATTTGACAGATAATTAAATGCAAATGTTAATACTACTAAATCTTCTGAGAACATTAAATTTTCTCCGTGACCTGCTCGCACACACACAAGACGGTTACAGCTGGCCCACACAATGATGAGTGAGGGAGTGAGTGAGTATGGTTTTACGCCGCTTTTAGCAATATTCCAGTAATATTCTGGGACACCAGAAATGAGCTCCACACATTGTACCCATGTCGGGAATCGAACCCGGGTCTTCGGCGTGACGAGCGAACGCTTTAACCACTAGGCTACCCGACCGCCACCACACAATGATGAAAATTCTTAATCGACTCGAAAAAATATAGGAAAACTTAATTATAGTTATATATTGACATGCTTACCCATTTCAAAAGCATCGCTCAGAGAGTGATTGAGTGAGTGAGTGAGATGGGTTTAAAGCCGCTTTGAACGGGACTTAGACAGATGTATGGCAACAGCATTAAGCATTCCATCGTATGCCAGCTGGATATATGGGCAACTCAGGAAACTGTATGCTCTTGAAGACACGTATTATGTCAGACTCTGTTATGTTACCTCCATATCAACGTACTTACCAATTACGAAAGCGTCGCTCAAAAGACAGCAACAGCCTAGTACGGCCATGGCCAAGAGCATGGTGGCTCTCATAGTATATATATTGTTGTCCGAAGAGCATTCTGAAAAGCAAAGACAATATATATCATTATATTCCAATAAACCTGACATACAGGTAGCAAGGCATTTAGTCTTTATTCACAAATGTGGAATAGAATCAAATATTGAAGCGAAGTGCTCAAAAGAGGTCTGAACAATCCTTCAGGGTTTTTTTTGTTATCTACTACTACTACTACGACGACGACGACTACTACTACTAATAATAATGATAATAATCATCATCATCATCATCATCATATTAAAAATAATAATAACTTCTTCACACATTTATTTGTCTGATGATCATCTTGTGAAGCTTGTCAAGACTAATGATGGAAACAAGATATTCCACAGTTTTATTAAACGAGCCAAGTATGTGGGACATAATCTCAATGTCAGTGTGGATTTTGTTGATGGTTCTGTACTGCTGGACGGCATAGAAACGAGTGTCAACCAAGCGAAGTGCCATGTCAAATCGGCCAATACTAAGTTTTTCAAGGAGAGTGAGTGAGTGAGTGAGTTGGTTTTAACGCCACTTTTAACAGTATTCCAGTTATATCACGGCGTGTCAGCTTAATGTGGGAGGAAAGCCCGAAGTGATGCAGGTCTCAGACATTTACCACTTCGGTGAAACCCACGAGCACGGGTATGGTGCTGACAAACCTAGAAACATAATCGGGGCGAACCGGGATTCGAACCCACAATCATAGGTTTCTGGCGTGTCCAAGGGACGCAACTCAGCACAGCGAATCACGGTGCTTTAGACGACTGGGCCACCCGTGCCCCCTTTTTCAAGGAGAAGCTATCATAACGATCACTGCATCTGTGCAAAGAACCCTGCAGCAAACCTGCAGAATCCTTCTCTTGAATAAAGTCTGCTGGCCTGAAAAGTGATACAGAAGGCTTTCTCTTTGCTGCTGAGGAGCGGTCACTTTCCACTCGAAACCGTCAATGTGTGATTTGGAATCAAAATGTGAATACAAAATGTAGATCATGCAATGAATTTAGTGAGACTGCCCAACACATTTTCAGTGGATGCACAAACACAGTATCTTAAACGACATGATGGAATGGCTCGATCCTATTATTACCGTTTTCGCCATGCTTCTGGTTTTGATACAGAGGTCCATCCATGGTACGACCCAGAATATGTAGAGGGCGTCTTGGAAAATGATAAATACAAAATTCTTTGGAATAGGCCCGTATACAACCTCAGACCTGTTCAGGCCAACAAACCTGAACTTGTCCTTTTTTTATAAACCCGATGAAAGTATTTATATCATTGACACTAATGTCATTGACAAGGTTCAGGAAAAACATGGCATCATGCGGACCTCGTATCCCAAGTACCAAGTTGTCTGACTCCTCATTGTTCTCGGTGCATCCCAATCTGTTGACTGACATTGGAAGTGTACCCGAGTTTGCCGCCAGAATACAGCCCTTATGACAATCTGGGTAATACAGAAGGCTACAGTGTTGTGGAGTTAACATTCTGCGAAAGGTTCTGTGTGGGTCCGACTAGGCAGCGTTTCCTTGGGGGAAGTCCCATTCGCTGTCTGGGCTGCGTGTAGAAGGAGCAAGGGCACTGAGCTGATGATGAGCCTAACCAGCCTGACTGTGCCAGGATCACACAAACCCTCTTTGTTGCATTTTTTTTATTTTAATCTGTACATATTAATGAAGATGCTCAAAGCGCTACATTGTGACCCCAGTCAGAGGATCAATGTGCACTCGGTTTTCAGTCTTATCTCGCTGGTGAGCATACAATCCAAGCAGCTTGTAAGGCGTCGGAGGGTTTACAGTCACACTACCATCTCACCCTACCGGGTACCCATTCACTGATGGCAGAACAGAAGCACTTGCGTAAGGAGACACCACATGTGCTACCAGCAACATTTTTCAAAGGCTTTTTATAAAATATTTACCGGGAAAAACATTGATATCTCCTTTTACCTTGTCGTATGAAGCAAAAACAATGTTTCAAAGTTACCAGAAATATAAGCCGTGAAGGAACTACAAACAAACACAGAACTCACCAATGACCGTTGTTTGTCTGTTGCTGTCCAAAGCATAAATGCTTCCTGTTTGAGAGAATCACGGGGGTTAATAAACCTTCCTCGTCACCCGCAAATGGTCATCGTGACGGGTGACAATCCATCACCTGTGGTGTCACAATGTCCACTGTGGTGTCACAATGTCCACTGTGATGTCATATCGCCCAGTGTGATGTCTCACTGCCCGCTGAGACGTTTCAATGTCAATGTCAATATACTCATACATTAAGGTTATCAAGTATTGGTCGAGACCGCTAAATGTGTCTTCATGTAGATTTCCCAGGAAATGATATATGATGTTAATGACTGACAGCAGTTTGGTAACATATGAAAGGTAAGTATTGTATAATGTTGGGTTTGGCTATGTTCGGAGTTATCAGTATTTAGAACCCCACTCTGTATTGGTCATGTCACTAACACAGTGCCTGAATGATATATGTATATTTAGAAGCTGGGTTCGATCTTTAACAACAGCATAAAACAAATGTACTTCTTTCGCATACATCATACACTGAACATTATTTATATATCATTTATTATTTAAAAGAGGTCTGTACAATCCTTCAGCTTTTTCTTGTTATCATTACTACTACTACTACTACTACTACTTCTACTACTACTACTACTACTGCTGCTGGTGCTGGTGCTGGTGCTGGTGCTGGTGCTGGTACTTCTACTGCTATTAATAATAATAATAATAACAATAATAATAATAACTTCTGCACACATTTATTTGTCTGATGATCATCTTGTGAAGCTTGTCAAGACTAATGATGGAAACAAGATATTCCACAGTTTTATTAGACGAGCCAAGTATGTGGGACATAATCTCAATGTCAGTGTGGATTTTGTTGATGGTTCTGTCCTGCTGGACTGTACAGAAACGAGTGTCAACCAAGCGAAGTGCCATATCAAATCGGTCAACCAAGAGAAGTGCCATATCAAATCGGTCAACCAAGCGAATGCACTTCATACGCACACATCAAACACTGAACATTATTTATCCGTTTTAAATATAAATAAATCTCGAATTTATAGTTTAAGTGAGTGAGTTAATATTTAATGTCACATCGGCAGTATTTCAGACATATCGAAAAGATCTAAATAGAGAGAGAAGAGCGTATTTGTCTGTTATGTAATTTAAATGCGGTAGAGGATGAGTAACATTTTCTTTTGTATTTCCAGAATATGCATCATTAAGAAAGAAATATATATATCGGAATATGTACATCCCAATGACTTTGAATTTAATTCCCTGTTGCCTTGGCCTTGCTGTGTAACAATTGCCAATCTTTATTCTATCATACTATGAAGTATAGAAAAACATATTCTTTTACAGAAATAGTATCCAGATACAATAGTCCTGTGTCCTCCTCAGGGCAGAAATAGAGATTGAATAAAGATGCCTGCCTTGTTATAGAATGTGTAACCATTTTAGTTTGAGGGAATATTAGAATAATGTTACCATACAGAACTCTGTTTACGGATTATAAGGTTATGGTACTCTGTATTATTTATTTAAATGTCTAAAGAACAGGAACAATGTTTACGGTGATATTTTGAATCCGGAAATTCATAACCTCGGATACTTTCAATTTTACATGATTTGGGTAAGTATAGGGTCATACTTGAGCTTCGTTTTAACCTCAGTAAAACTCCTGCAAATACTACTACTACCTACTATATATTTTGTGAATCATGTTCATTATACCGACTTTCTTGACAAAGGTATAAGGATCTATATCGCCTTTACAGTAAATACAGAAGTTGTTATCTATAAATTGTATCTACTTTGTCATCCGTCAACTTCCAAGTAATGCCTATCAAACAACTCAAAAATGCAAATAAGTTGACATCAAATTGAAGCGAATGTAATATTCTATTTATTTCTTTATGTGGCATCCAAAGCGAAGTACATAATGAATATGTTTAGCATTGAGAGAGTGCCACGGTCACAACGTTACCGTTTATCGAACCACTGCGGATTTGACCGGTGATCTCTGTGAGAAATAGTTCCTGTTTTATTGTTTCAGTACATACATGTAGGTTACCAACTGATATGGGATTTGTCAACTGAAAAGCCGACCTGGAATTGGTGCTGTAGTGAGTGAATGAGTTGGGTTTAACGCCACTTTTAACAATATTCCAGTTATATCACGGCGTTCCAGCTTAATGTGGGAGGAAAGCCCGAAGTGATGCAGGTCTCAGACGTTTACTACCTCGGTGAAACCCACGAGCACGGGTATGGTGCTGACAAACCTAGAAACATAATTGGGGCGAACCGGGATTCGAACCCACAATCATAGGTTTCTGGCGTGCCCAAGGGACGCAACCCTGCAAAGCGAATCGCGGCGCCTTAGACGACTGGGTCACCCGTGCCCCCAATTGGTGTTGTAACAATGCAGTAACGCCTTGACGTATGAGAAATATCATTGATCTCGCACTCTTGTTAATGTCGCCCTCTGAACAATTACTCTATCTAAACACAAACGCGTTGCAGTCAATATAAGTATGTATACTCAAATTGCAAATTGTGTGACTTCGGCATCCCAGTGACCAAGGTCAACTGGAAATGTCAAGGCAGATGAAATCCAGATTTTTTTCAAATTCAGATTTTGTCTGTACACACTTCCACAGAATGTACTCTCCGATAATCATATGAATATTTCCTTTAATGGTCCTCTTGATCTTGGCTCATTTTCGTGGCTCTCTCTTCCCATCTTGAAGTCCACGGTCCTTGCACTCCTTAACAAAGAAAGGAGCATAGTCCCCTTAGTGTGACACCATGACCGCAGTCATGGCTGTTGGAGTTTTCACTTTCCTTCACACAGTACTATGTATTGTATGAGTCGTGTCTACAGCTGTAGGTATTGTATATGTAGTGAGTCATGTTTACAGCTATAGGTATTGTACATGTAGTGAGTCGTGTATACAGCTATAGGTAATGTACATGCAGTGAGTCGTGTATACAGCTATAGGTATTGTACATGTAGTGAGTCGTGTGTACAGCTATAGGTATTGTACATGTAGTGAGTCGTGTATACAGCTATTGGTAGTGTACATGTAGTGAGTCGTGTATACAGCTATAGGTATTGTACATGTAGTGAGTCGTGTATACTGCTATAGGTATTGTACATGTAGTGAGTCGTGTATACAGCTATAGGTATTGTACATTTAGTGAGTCGTATGTACAGCTATAGGCATTGTACATGCAGTGAGTCGTGTATACAGCTATAGGTAGTGTACATGTGGTGAGTGGTGTATACAGCTATAGTTATTGTACATGTAGTGAGTCGTGTATACAGCTATAGTCATTGTACATGTAGTGAGTCGTGTATACAGCTATTGGTAGTGTACATGTAGTGAGTCGTGTATACAGCTATAGGTATTTACATGTAGTGAGTCGTGTATACAGCTATTGGTATTGTACATGTAATGAGTCGTGTATACAGCTATAGGTAATGTACATGTAGTGAGTCGTGTATACAGCTATTGGTATTGTACATGTAGTGAGTCGTGTATACAGCTATAGGTATTTACATGTAGTGAGTCGTGTATACAGCTAAAGGTATTGTACATGTAGTGAGTCGTGTATACAGCTATAGGTATTGTACATGTAGTGAGTCGTGTAAACAGCTATAGGTTTTGTACATGTAGTGAGTCGTGTATACAGCTATAGGTATTGTACATGTAGTGAGACGTGTATACAGCTATAGGTATTGTACATGTAGTGAGTCGTGTATACAGCTATAGGTATTGTACATGTTGTGAGTCGTGTGTACAGCTATAGGTATTGTACATGTAGTGAGTCGTGTATACAGCTATAGGTATTATAGATACAGCTATGGGTATTTTACATGTAGTGAGTCGTGTTTACAGCTATAGGTATTGTGCATGTAGTGAGTCGTGTATACAGCTATTGGTATTGTACATGTAGTGAGTCGTGTATACAGCTATAGGTATTTACATGTAGTGAGTCGTGTATACAGCTAAAGGTATTGTACATGTAGTGAGTCGTGTATACAGCTATAGGTATTGTACATGTAGTGAGTCGTGTAAACAGCTATAGGTTTTGTACATGTAGTGAGTCGTGTATACAGCTATAGGTATTGTACATGTAGTGAAACGTGTATACAGCTATAGGTATTGTACATGTAGTGAGTCGTGTATACAGCTATAGGTATTGTACATGTTGTGAGTCGTGTGTACAGCTATAGATATTGTACATGTAGTGAGTCGTGTATACAGCTATAGGTATTATAGATACAGCTATGGGTATTTTACATGTAGTGAGTCGTGTTTACAGCTATAGGTATTGTGCATGTAGTGAGTCGTGTATACAGCTCTAGGTATTGTACATGTAGTGAGTCGTGTATACTGCTATAGGTATTGTACATGTAGTGAGTCGTGTATACTGCTATAGGTATTGTACATGTAGTGAGTCGTGTAAACAGCTATAGATATTGTACATTTAGTTAGTCGTGTATACAGCTATAGGCATTGTACATGTAGTGAGTCGTGTATACAGCTATAGGTAGTGTACATGTAGTGAGTCGTGTATACAGCTATAGTTATTGTACATGTAGTGAGTCGTGTATACAGCTATAGTCATTGTACATGTAGTGAGTCGTGTGTACAGCTATAGGTCTTTACATTTAGTGAGTCGTGTATACAGCTATAGTCATTGTACAGGTAGTGAGTCGTGTATACAGCTATAGGTATTGTACATGTAGTGAGTCGTGTATACAGCTATTGATACAGTATATGTAGTGAGTCGTGTAAACAGCTATAGGTATTGTACATGTAGTGAGTCGTGTATACAGCTATAGGTATTGTACATGTAGTGAGTCGTGTATACAGCTATATGTATTGTACATGTAGTGAGTCGTGTATACAGCTATAGGTATTGTACATTTAGTGAGTCGTGTATACAGCTATTGATATAGTATATGTAGTGAGTCGTGTATACAGCTATAGTCATTGTACATGTAGTGAGTCGTGTGTACAGCTATAGGTCTTTACATGTAGTGAGTCGTGTATACAGCTATATTGTACATTTAGTGAGTCGTGTATACAGCTATAGTCATTGTACAGGTAGTGAGTCGTGTATACAGCTATAGGTATTGTACATGTAGTGAGTCTTGTATACAGCTATGGGTATTGTACATGTAGTGAGTCGTGTATACAGCTATTGATATAGTATATGTAGTGAGTCGTGTATAAAACTATAGGTATTGTACATGTAGTGAGTCGTGTATACAGCTATAGGTATTGTACATGTAGTGAAACGTGTATACAGCTATAGGTATTGTACATGTAGTGAGTCGTGTATACAGCTATAGGTATTGTACATGTAGTGAGTCGTGTATACAGCTATTGATATAGTATATGTAGTGAGTCGTGTATACAGCTATAGTCATTGTACATGTAGTGAGTCATGTGTACAGCTATAGGTCTTTACATGTAGTGAGTCGTGTATACAGCTATATTGTACATTTAGTGAGTCGTGTATACAGCTATAGTTATTGTACATGTAGTGCGACGTGTATACAGCTATAGTCATTGTACATGTAGTGAGTCATGTGTACAGCTATAGGTCTTTACATGTAGTGAGTCGTGTATACAGCTAAATTGTACATGTAGTGAGTCGTGTGTACAGCTATAGGTCTTTACATGTAGTGAGTCGTGTATACAGCTATATTGTACATGTAGTGAGTCGTGTGTACAGCTATAGTTATTGTACATGTAGTGCGACGTGTATACAGCTATAGGTATTGTACATGTAGTGAGTCGTGTATACAGCTATAGGTATTGTACATGTAGTGAGTCGTGTATACAGCTATATGTATTGTACATGTAGTGAGTCGTGTATACAGCTATAGATATTGTACATGTAGTGAGTCGTGTATACAGCTATTGATATAGTATATGTAGTGAGTCGTGTATACAGCTATAGGTATTGTACATGTAGTGAATCGTGTATACACCTATTGATATAGTATATGTAGTGAGTCGTGTATACAGCTATAGGTATTGTACATGTAGTGAGTATCATTTGGGGCGCGTATACAGCTTGAAATGGGGAAAGCGTGAGTGAGTGCATGGGTTGGATTCTACGCTGCTTTTAGCAAGATTCCAGCAATATCACGACAGGGTACATCAGAAATGGGTTCACGCAGTGTACCCATGTGGGGATCAAACCCATGCCTTTTGGAGTTATATCAGCACGCACCAACTCAGCATGAAGCCCTAAGTGACGTACGTCTCCATTGTTTCCCGCTTGGGTGACACCCACAATCAAGGGGATGGTTGAGAAAAGCCTTGAAACAATCGGGGTGAGTCTGGGATTTCAATCCTCGACAACATATAAGTATATTTGTTTAGTTGATGACATATATAATACCATCACAGTGACCTCGAACGCTACATACGCCAACAGAAATTCCACCTTGAGTTGTAGATGTACAGATAAACAAATATTTTCTTTTGTTCATAGTGCTTTTATTGTCAGAAACAACACCAACGATGACCTTATGACATGTCAACCTCTGAACAAATAATTAATACAGATGCATCTATCTGAGACGTATCTGAACCAATCATCCTGAGCTAACTTGTCGAAAGCTGAAGCATCGACCAGTCATGTGAAGGCAAGATCACATCACACGCGAGGCACAGAGGGCTTGGGGGGTAGGTCAAGAGCCTCTCGGAGATGCATGGAGTAGAGGTCATGAGGGCTGTAACCATGGGGACCTCCAGCTGGTTTAGCTGCTGGTGATGCTGCCTGTTCTGCTGTTGGTTTTGGTGCTGCTGGGTGGCCTTGTTGTGGAGGAAGGTCTAGTGCCTCAGCGAGGTGCAGTGAGAACAAGCGGTCGTACTGGTTCTGGTGACCAAGGGAAGAGGACTTGGAAGCTTGATACTGAGCCGCACCCTTGCTGGCAGGTGCTCCAAGGGTTTCAGCGAGCTGGTGCAAGTTGTGATGTCCTCCATAGTGAGGAAGCTCCATTTCAGCGAGCATGTTGAGTCTCAACATGTTGTTGAGGGCGTCGTATCCACGTTGGGAAGCACCAGGGTAGAGGCCAGATGCAGCCCCTGCTGGAGAGTTGGGTTCTGGGATGGGAACCCGTGGGGAGGCTGCTGTTTTAGCTGGCGCAGATGCTGGGTCAGCCAATGGATTCGCAGGGGAGCGGGAAAAAGGGTCTGCTGAGAAAGGGGCAGGGAAAGGGTCTGCAAAGTTGGGGCCAGTGGCAGAGAAAGGGCCTAAAGAGATCTGGGAAGGGGAAGGGGCAAATGGGGCTTGAGCCTGGTCAGGGGCGGAAGCACCACGGGGATTAGGGGAGTCCTCTTTGATGATGATGATAGTATTCTGGGGAAAGGGTTGGTGTCTGAGTGTGTTTCTGCTGGAAGCGCGGATAGGCTGAGTGTCGTATCCTTGCTCGGTCTGGGAACCGTAGTGATCAGGTAGGCCATTGGCAACGACATACTGGGGCTGTGGAGCTGGGACATAGACTTTTTGAGCTTGTTGGGCTGGGGGATAGACGTTTTGAGTTTGTGGGGCTGGGGGATAGACTTTCTGAGCTTGTGGGGCTGGGGGATAGACGTTCTGAGCTTGTGGGGCTGGGGGATAGACTCTCTGAGTTTGTGGGGCTGGGGGATAGACTTTTTGAGTTTGAGGGCCTCGGGGGTAGACGTTTTGAGTTTGTGGGGCAAGGGGATAGACATTTTGAGTTTGTGGGGCTGGAGGGTAGACATTTTGAGTTTGTGGGGCTGGAGGGTAGACTTTTTGAGTTTGTGGGGCTTGTGGGGTTGGTCGAGCAGGAGCCACCTGTTTGACTTGAGTGGACTTGATGGCTTTTCTTTGGAGTGTTTTAGTGGGATTGTAGATAATCTGTCTTCCAAATCTTGGGGTTTGGACCCTGCGATTTATCAGCTGATTGTAAGGATTGATAATATATGGTGAACCTGCAAGAAAACCAAAAGTCCATTTAAATACAAGCGACGAAACCCTTTTCCATATGGGTCCGACATTTTGATATTCCCCTTTTGGGTGAGTGAGTGAGTGAGTGAGTGAGTGAGTGAGTGAGTGAGTGAGTGAGTTGGGTTTAAAGCCGCTTTGAACGGAACTCAGACAGTATCATGGCCACATCATGAAGCAGTTCCGTCGCATGCCAGCTGGATCTATGGACAACTCAGGAAACAGTATGCTCTTGATGACACATGTTAGGAATGTACGTACCAATAACGAAAGCGTCGGTCACAAGACAGCAACATCCTAGTACGGCCATGGCCAACATGATGACGGCTCTCATCGTATCTATATGATGCCCAATAAGCTTTCTGAAAACAACATTTGAACAAATGAAAACAATACTTCTATTGGTTGCCCAGCGTTGTCAGTGTACGATTAACCACTGGATCATTTGTGGTGGATTTTCACACGTGAGTGAGTTAGTTATATCATCGATCACATACTCTCCTCCAACTTGGTTGATGCATGTCATCGTATCCCAATTACTTGGGTCGATGCTCATGATGTCAATCACTGAATTGTCTGGTCCAGACTCGATTATTTACAGACCTTCATATAGCTGCAATATTGCTGAGTGTGGCGTTAAACAACGAATAAACAAACATGTGGAGAAAAAGTCCATTTTTTTATCACTTCCGTAAACTCTTGGACATACATATGACACTTACAAACCCAGAAACATGATCAGAACAATACTTAACCCAACAAAGTAAGCAGATATATGTAGAATGGATGGAAATAAACTTCCTTATATACAGCACACCCTATACCACACGTGGTAATAACTTAACCCAACCAAGTAAGCAGATATATGTAGAATGGATGGATACAAGCTTCCTTAAACACAGCACACCCTATACCACACGTGGTAATAACTTTACGAAACCAAGTAAGCAGATATATGTAGAATGGATGGAAATAAACTTCCTTAAACACAGCACACCCTATACCACACGTGGTAATAACTTTACCCAACCAAGTAAGCAGATATATGTAGAATGGATGGAAATAAACTTCCTTAAACACAGCACACCCTATACCACACGTGGTAATAACTTTACGAAACCAAGTAAGCAGATATATGTAGAATGGATGGAAATAAACTTCCTTATATACAGCACATCCTATACCACACGTGGTAGACAATTACTACTTGAGTACGCTCAGTGTACCTTATGTCGCCATGATTCTACGTTATTCATTAACGCTAAGTTGTAACTTTTCTCTTAGTGTATCGAAACATCTGTGTCAACTCGGTCTTGCAGTTCAGAAGGTCATATGTACGTAATGTTAGACCATTTGAGTGAGTGAGTGTGGTTTTACGCCGTTTTAGCAAGAATTCAGCAATATCACGCCGGGGAACACCAAAAATCGGCTTCACACATTGTACCCATTTGGGGAAGCAAAACCGGGCCTTCGGGGTGACGAGCGAACGCTTTAACCACCAGGCTACCCTGCCGCCTCAAGATCATTGGAAGAAAAAACTGTAACTAAGAAATAAAAAAAGTTACAAGCAAACATTGAACTCACCAGTTGCTGCTGTTGGTCTGCTGTTGACGAAGGTGGAGAAGGAATGATACTCGTGACGACCGTCGGGGTTTATATACCTCCATCGTCCACCGGTCAACAGTCATCGTGATGGGCCGGACAAAGGAGAAGAGGAGGGGCATCCATCAGGAGTATGCGCATGCGTCAATCTGTAAGGTTCGTGAAACTTTGGTCTGGCAAAATACCTAGTTTTGTTCTTCTGAACCTATATTAACTAATAAGCACTAAAATGGACTGATACCTTGAATTTCTGAACAGACAAAGATATTTGCCAGGGAGTTGTATTCAAGCCTTTGCATCATGCACAGGCGGGGACTGATTGGTAGGTCCCACTACACATTGAGCGGTTCCTAGAATGACATGGAATACACTCTGTATCTCACACAGACGGTGGAGGATAGAGACAATGATATATTCCGTTAGATACACAAAAAGGCTGGACAAGTCGATAGAATTTCATTCGAAAGTGAATTGATCGAGTTATATACAGGGGATGAAGACAAGCTGGACGATAAGTCTTTTAATGACCTAGCCAACGCGATGTGTGAAAATGTGCCTATGGATAGTTAATGAAGTGAATCTCAAGTAAAGGTTTAGCATAGGAACATACCTCAGAGGTTTTTTACCTCTTCAGGTTCAGGTTTATATTATCATATGTCCACTCTGATGTTGTTCAGAAACCCTGGGAACACTAATGTTGATTCTGGTTTGAGCAACAAGATAAGCAATCACAGAAAAATATAGACATCACGTCAATCATTGAGAATAAACTAGTTCTTAAAGGTACCACTTCAAGACCATGATCCGATACTTTAGACAGATATAGACTTGAACTAAAACGAGTGAAACAAAACATTAACATGATAAAATCGCAAAGACCGTACCAAATTACAAACACATGTATTTATTTCGATCGATATTTGCACCTAAAACACTTAACCAGGCTGTTTAACCTGATGATACGTACTTGCTATACACCTGCACCGTTAAGATCCGGAACAATTATTCCAATATATAAAGGAAACAATTAGGACACATCGAATGTATAAACTCAAAGAAGTTTTATCGTTCTACACGGAAATATCATCCAATGTTTACACTGTGTTTCTTGATAATGAGAAAGCGTTTGGTCACATCTGGCACAACGGACTACACTTGAAACTATTTTTCCTCGGTGTACAAGGGAAAGCCTGGCATATCATACGTCAGTCGTATCACGTCCATCAATACGCTTGCCAATGGAAACTAACACATAATGCAGGCATAAGCTGTCTTAGTGCTTAAAGGTGGAAACAAAATAAACGAATCGTGTTCTTTTAAACTATGTTCCCATATACTGGACATGAAATCGAACACAGTGCTAGGAGGTTTAGTCATTTATGTTCATTTTTAATCCAAAATGAGAGCTTGTGTCAAGACGAGAGACAATTTAAACTCCCTGAGAGATATTGGACTAAAAGTATGTGGTCTGAACCCAATCTGTTATGGAGGAAGTTACAGTTCCATGTTCCTTCCTTCTAATATATCCAAGAAAGATTACATTGAAAACAGAAGTCGAAAACTCCACCTTGCATGTACTGTACACATGTTCCTGTAAGATCTCCGCCCGTTGCAATTATTCGGACCTGGGATTGTGGACTAGACAGCTGTGATTGACAAAACTAATTATGCACCTTATACAATATGTCAACCAGATCTGTGAGCTCCTGTACCAATAAATAGAGGATGTTATATAAATGTTCATGTCATACTATGTTTACGACAGGAGTGTTATATAGTATAACATGACCACGAATATGATGTTCTATTTACTACCGAAGTGGGGGCACGGGTGGCCCAGTCATCTAAGGCGCCGCGATTCGCTGTGCAGAGCTGCGTCCTTTGGGCACGCCGGAAACCTATTATTGTGGGTTCGAATCCCGGTTCGCCCCGATGATGTTTCTAGGTTTGTTAGCACCATATGCGTGCTCGTGGGTTTCACCGAAGTGGTAAATGTCTCGGACCTGCATCACTTCGGCCTTCCTCCCACATTAAGCCGACACGCCGTGATATAACTGTTAAAAGCGGCGTTAAACCCAACTCACTCACTACTACTAAAGTAGATGTCTTCATACAGAGACAAATTTTAGTGTTTACCTATAAGGACAGCAAGTCGCAACAGCAGCGGAACTACAATTTGTCGAATGACGTTAACAATCTTCAGCTATAACGTCGATTCTAGTATGACGTCATTCTGACCTCACGTCACAATAAGATGCAATGGCGTCAACAATGCCTTTCGGATGACGGAAAAAAATACACTGTTGTCTCGTGACGTGATATAACCCAAGGGCAAATACGACTTTTATGAACCTCTCTATGTTTGCCCACGAAGGTAACAAAACCAGGACTGTGCGATAACGAGTGTTATTACATAATAAAACTCCAAATGCTGAGTTGTACAGCTTCAGCTGATGCAAGGAACACCCTTTATATGGAATGTATTTGACACTTTATACATCGAATCCTGTTTGTGTATTGTAGACTGTACAGATGACGAAGTGAACATTGTGACAAGCTAGGTGACATAACCCCATTTGCAGAGGATATTAGCATTGACACATGGGCTGGATTCAAAGCATATGTATCAAGAGATATAAGCTCCTGGAACCTGCTGTCAATACATATTAGGAAACTTTCAATTTCTCTACACCATGCTTCAGTACATCTGCTGTGTTAACATGAATAGAAATGTATGTCACTCCACAAACCAAATGGAAGAAGCAAAGACCATTCTTTTCTTCTCCCTTCCTTCCTTCCCTCCTTCCTTCCTTCCCTCTTGTAGTGAGGCGTGTATACAGCTGTAGGTACTGTACATACAGTGAGTCCTGTATACAGCTATAGGTATTGTACATGTAGTGAGTCGTGTATACAGCTATAAGTATAGTACATATAGTGAGTCATGTACAGCTATAGGTATTGTACATTTAGTGAGTCGTGTATACAGCTATATTGTACATGTAGTGAATCGTGTATACAGCTATAGGTATTGTACATGTAGTGAGTCGTGTATACAGCTATATGTATTGAACATATAGTGAGTCATGTATACAGCTATAGGAGATAGATAGATAGATAGATAGATAGATAGATAGATAGATAGATAGATAGATAGATAGATAGATAGATATTCTTTATTTCCTTCAAATGAATGAAGATATGCAGATATAATTATGTTACATTATGTTACATGTTTAACATGAATTGGGGGTATATTTACATATGTTCATAAACATCCAAGTGTTTTAGCAGGTATCGCCATTTCCTTATAAAGCGGCTTACATTAATTATTACTTCTGCCCACACATCTCTTTCTCGTTCCATAATTCTATTTGACATCCACCAAGTAAAGACGCAAGAATAACATCAATATCTTTCTCCCAGATCTTAACAAAAACATTTACATCCGGGATATCATATATTGTGTTAAAAAGTAAATTTCGGTCATTCATATTGATCGTGCAAGACATAAACACGTGCTTTACAATATCATTGGCAACAGTTTTACAATAGCATTCTCTAGAGACAATTTCAGCTGATCCATAGAATACAAGTCTTGCAATATTAGTTAAATGGTCATACTTCTCCAAGGCTAGTTTCCAGAGATAGTGTTCATTACTTGATCTTATACTAACACATCTTGACAGTCTTGAATTCAGATGGACATAAAAAACATCATTTCGATGAGATTTAATAGCATCATTCACGGCCTTGGACTAGCATTTCTTATTAATAAATTGACAATTATTGACACAGTTAACAAGTGTATCATTTATGTTATACTTTTGTACAAGTTGTAGCATATTATATATCGGATATTTTCTACTCCATACATTGCATTTAAAACTATCTGTACACATAAATTGACCCAGGCGAACTAGAAACATTACTTTAAAAACACAGTTATACTTTGCATTACATAGCTTTCCTAAGACGTAGAGTGCTCTTTTATCAATGTAATACTGTAGTGGCATGATACCGATAGCATCCAATACAACAATACTGAACTCTTTTACATAATTGACGTTGTACAACTTCAAGCATTTCATACTCTTAAAGAGGAAGTTTACCCCATACGCTGCATCCATAGAGGCCACATGATAAGATTACCCTCTCCCAGATTCGTGCTTCAGATATAGGATTCAGACCACCAAAGTACAGCCCATTATTATGGTTAGTGTTGATGAGTACACGTAACTTTTCACATGCAGATTGTGTACGTTCAAGTGATGATTTATCTGTGCTAAGATATACACCTGCATATTTAATAGATTTCCTTTGTGGAACATCCATATCGCCAAATGATACATTAGTGGTTAGAACCTTATTGTTTGGGCATCCAAAGTATAGAACTGCACTCTTGCTTACATTATATTTTAGCTGCCACATATGAGCATAGTTTTGAACGACGTAAAGAAGATTTCGTAGGCCTTTATTTGAGATACTCATCAAAGTAGTGTCGTCAGCAAGAAGAATCCCAGGACATTTACCCCATGGCAGAATTAAACCAGAATCTGAGTTTTCAAGTTCATATAGGAGGTCATTAATAAATAGCGTGAAAAGCCAAGCGGACATTACTCTACCTTGACCTACTCCTTGATTCACGGGGAATGCATCCGACTTAAATCCTTCAAAGCATACAAATGATTTCATAGAGCTGTAGGAGAGTCTTAATATTCTCCATAGTTTACCCGTTATTCCTATATCATACAGTTTAATAAATAATCCATGAAGCCATACCCGATCAAATGCTTTTTCGTTATCTAAGAATGCACAGTATACAGGCAACATCCTTTCATTGTAATATGCAATATTTTATGTTAACGTAAGTACAGCCGTTTCAGCACCATAGTGACGTCTAAATCCAAATTGCAAAGGATGTGGAAATTCTATGTTATCATCTACCCACGAGTCTATTCTGTTGAGAAGAAGTCTTTCAAAGAGTTTGTTTAATACAGGCGGCATTGTTATTCCTCTATAATTGGCAGGGTCA